GTCAGGTTCCATATATCTCTGTCAGCTCCTACAGACCTCAGATACATCTTACATACCTCTGTCAGGTCTCACAGACCTCAGTCAGGTCTGAGAGACCTCAGTCAGGTCTCTGACAGACCTCGGCCAGGTTTGTCAGTCGTCTGTCAGGTTCCATATATCTCTGTCAGCTCCTACAGACAGGGAGGGTCCACATAGGAGGGTTGTCAGACGTCTGTCAGGTTCCACATATCTCTGTCAGCTCCTACAGACCTCTGTCAGGTCTCACATGCCTCTGTCACGTCTGACAGACCTCGGTCTGGTCTGACAGTCCTCGGTCTGGTCTGACAGTCCTCGGTCAGGTCGGAGAGACCTCGGTCAGGTCTGACAGACCTCAATCAGGTATCTGACAGATCTCGGCCAGGGTTGTCAGACGTCTGTCAGGTTCCATATATCCCTGTCAGCTCCTACAGACCTCTGTCAGTTCTGACAGATCTCGGTCAGGTCAGGGAGACCTCGGTCAGGTCTGAGAGACCTCGGTCAGATCTGAAAGATCTCAGTCAGGTCTCTGACAGACTACGGCCAGGGTTGTCAGATGTCTGTCAGGTTCCATATATCTCTGTCAGCTCCTACAGACCTCAGATACGTCTTACATACCTCTGTCAGGTCTCACAGACCTCAGTCAGGTCTGAGAGACCTCAGTCAGGTCTCTGACAGACCTCGGCCAGGTTTGTCAGTCGTCTGTCAGGTTCCATATAGCTCTGTCAGCTCCTACAGACAGGGAGGGTCCACATAGGAGGGTTGTCAGACTTCTGTCAGGTTCCACATATCTCTGTCAGCTCCTACAGACCTCTGTCAGGTCTCACATACCTCTGTCACGTCTGAGAGACCTCGGTCTGGTCTGACAGTCCTCGGTCAGGTCAGAGAGACCTCGGTCAGGTCTGAGAGACTTCAGTCAGGTCTTTGACAGACCTCGGCCAGGGTTATCAGACGTCTGTCAGGTTCCACATACTTCTGTCAGGTCCCACATACCTCTGTCAGGTCTGACAGACCTCTCTTAGGTCTCACATACCTCTGTCAGGTCTGACAGTCCTCGGTCAGGTCGGAGAGACCTCGGTTAGGTCTGAGAGACTTCAGTCAGGTCTTTGACAGACCTCGGCCCGGGTTGTCAGACGTCTGTCAGGTTCCACATATCTCTGTCAGCTTCTACAGACCTCTCTCAGGTCTCACATACCTCTGTCAGGTCTGACAGACCTCGGTCAGGTCGGAGAGACCTCAATCAGGTCTGAGACCTCAGACAGGTCTGACAGACCTCAGACAGGTCTGACAGACCTCAATCAGGTCTCTGACAGATCTCGGACAGGGTTGTCAGACGTCTGTCAGGTTTCATATATCTCTGTCAGTTCCTACAGACCTCTGTCAGGTCTCACATACCTCTGTCAGGTCTGATAGACCTCGGTCAGGTCGGAGAGACCTCGGTCAGGTCTGAGAGACCTCGGTCAGGTCTGAGAGATCTCAGTCAGGTCTCTGACAGACTACGGTCAGGGTTGTCAGATGTCTGTCAGGTTCCATATATCTCTGTCAGCTTCTACAGACCTCAGATACATCTTACATACCTCTGTCAGGTCTCACAGACCTCAGTCAGGTCTGAAAGATCTCAGTCAGGTCTCTGACAGACCTCGGCCAGGTTTGTCAGGCGTCTGTCAGGTTCCATATATCTCTGTCAGCTCCTACAGACAGGGAGGGTCCACATAGGAGGGTTGTCAGACGTCTGTCAGGTTCCACATATCTCTGTCAGCTCCTACAGACCTCTGTCAGGTCTCACATGCCTCTGTCACGTCTGACAGACCTCGGTCTGGTCTGACAGTCAGTCCTCGGTCTGGTCTGACAGTCCTCGGTCAGGTCGGAGAGACCTCGGTCAGGTCTGACAGACCTCAATCAGGTCTCTGACAGATCTCGGCCAGGGTTGTCAGACGTCTGTCAGGTTCCATATATCCCTGTCAGCTCCTACAGACCTCGGTCAGGTCGGAGAGACCTCGGTCAGGTCTGAGAGACCTCGGTCTGGTCTGACAGTCCTCGGTCCGGTCTGACAGTCCTCGGTCAGGTCTGAGAGACCTCGGTCAGATCTGAAAGATCTCAGTCAGGTCTCTGACAGACCTCGGCCAGGTTTGTCAGGCGTCTGTCAGGTTCCATATATCTCTGTCAGCTCCTACAGACAGGCATCCTCCAAAGGCATATTAACCCTATTCCTGGCGGGCTCCGCCGGGACAAGAAACTCGCGGTGGGGGGGGGGGGGCCGATTCGGCCCCCCTTCAGATCTCAAAAACTACACATCGCAGCGACAAACGGCGAACGGTGTTTGATAAATCGTTTAAAGATCTACAACTTTTACATAAAATATTTTCAGGTCAGGTCAATATTGAGGTCACCAGAGGTCATCAACGATAAAATGTTTTGGAATTAGTTACCTATATAACTTTTAAACTAAGAAACATAGAGACATAAAACCAATGCATTTTTTGTTGCTCTCGCCGAGGCGATGCGAAATAAGTATGTGATGACCTTCACAGGTCAATTTAAAATTTGACCTGAGGTCAAGGTCAGGTCATTCATCAATGAGGTTGTGGGGTATGGTCATGCTGCATACCAAACGACGCGCCTTGACCAGGCGAGCAGTTTGGTACCACTTTCAAGTCTTTAGCACCATCATGTCGTGATTTATTGACAGAAAAACGATTTATGACGTCACATGACCTCAGATGACCTTTGCCGGTGCCCCTGTCAATTAGCGGCACCAGGATCATCACCGATGAGATAATCTTCCATAATACTGAAAGAACTGGGTGGTTTTGACTCGTTTACACGAAGCAGGAGGCGTTTCAATATTTTCCCATAGGCTTGCAATGTAAAGGTCACGAGTCTGGCCTGACCTCAGGTCACAGATATGAAAATTCTGAGATATACAAATTGCACATACTGGTACCCTAACTAAAGCCTGAAGAGAAGAAATTGATCGGTCAAAAACTCTAGCTCTGGCGTGATTGCAAACTTTTCTGAGGTAGGGTCACCAAACCGCCTCTGGTGACCTGACCTGAGGTCAGATCAACTCAAAATTTTCAGAAATGTTGCGTAAAGGCCTTTTAGAAAAAGTCAAAAAATGTGAGCTTCCTAGCTCAAAGCGTTTGGGACATATAACCAAAAAACCTCAGGGGGGCTCCTGAGGCCCCCCCCCCGCCAGGAATAGGGTTAATAAGGTTGCCAGAAGCTGTGGCTTGAATGTAAGGCCAGGTAACCATAATTTAGCTTTATTCCCAACGTCCCCGGAGCAACAGCGAGAAACCCTATGACCCTACGGGGAGGGTGGCAACTGGAAGCACCGCCACTCGGCCGCGTAGGGTTAGCATCCCCGATCAATGCAATTATGAAAGCAAACGATAATGACAATTACTGGAAGAAAAGCATGGACCCAGCTTGCGCAGTTGGCATTAAATGTAAATGTATGGACATATGTTAGCTCCGCCTCTAAACTGCTAACTCCGCCCACATGTCCACGTTCTTATGAATTATTGTTGGCATATGTCCATGCAATGATCAAAAACTGTCTCTTTTATGCTGGGAGCTATCTACATGGGTCAGAGATGTGTGAAACGGACTTCGTGGATACGACATTCACCCCAAGAATCGGTTTGCCAAGCTTCGTAGTTTGGACGGGAACATAAATTATATGCGTGTCCATTATTTTCGGTTTTCTGTCCATGTCCATGCTAACACGCTGGACCGGTATAGGTGCTTCCCTTGGCTGCGTCTCTAGATCCACAGATACCGGAGACGTATGCATTTTAAATCCAGTCTGATACATCACTCGAAATAAGGACCGGTTCCCACATGGCTGTGTATGTACGTTATGACGTCATACCCGCTGGTCCCCACATGACTGCACCATACGGATCCGTTCAGAACGTGCCAAGCGCTTCAAGATTATTGCAATCGCAATCTACTTGCCTCCCTGATTTCAGCTATACCATCTCCATCTCGATCCAACCATTTTAAAGGGGTGTCGGGTCGGTCCCCGCTCCGCCGCATTTCAACAAGGTCCCGACTATGCCCCGGAGACCCGTATGTGTGTGTGTGTGTGTGTGTGTGTGTGTGTGTGTGTGTGTGTGTGCGTGTGTGTGTGTGTGTGTGTGTGTGTGTGTGTGTGCACTTGTAAGCCGTCACCTTTGGGGACATTTTCAGATAACACTTCTGCAGTTCGAGGACACCCCCCTCACATTCGAGGACATTTCGGTGTCCTCGTAATTTTTAGTATCCTACAAAGCATCTTTTGGCTCTCGAAGGCTTTCTCACGAATTCTTAGAGTGTCCCTATTTTTCACGATAATTATGACGTGTGTGAAAATGATGTGTGAAGTGTTTAACTGCGCGTACTTTGTCCTTCGTGTGAGAAATAGTGGTGGTCGAGGTTTCACCGTAAAAGAACTCATGATATAAGAAGGAATTATGTCCTTAATTTAAGTATGTGCCATGTTAGGTGAAGTTATAAAAAAGAGACATGATAATATTCTTCAAAATATGTTTAAATTGAATAGCACATAATTAAAGAGAGTATGATAATAATCACCACGCGTCCTCACTAGCGCGCGTTCTACAAAAGCTGCGCATTGCATACATTGCTTCCATGCATACTCAAATTGTTGTATGTGCTGGTGTATCTCTTGGTGTGACTGACTACCCGAAGTTAAGTGGAAAATATCATTTCATTAATTTTAATTTTAAACTTTTTTTAATCAGATTCAAAACCTGAATCCTTTGTTAGATAGGCAGGGAAGAAGCGGTTTCGATACTCTTGCGCGTTGATTTTGTGTTTTATACTATGACGCATTTGGTACATTATGCTGATTGGTCAGTTTACTAAGATGCCTTTAGCTTCGCCGAAGTTCATTGGTTGAACTCTCGCGTGCTTGCTACCGCGTTTCCATAAGAAGTGTATTCGATTTTAGTCAGGGATTGAACTTTTCCGGTGGTTTTCGCGCGGATTTTCGTCACCTTTGTTGAGACTGTGGTCCGATTCGGAAGTGCAACATTAGGTACATATTTTTATATTTGAATTATGATGGCAAAGCCTTTTCAGATTTAATCCAGGCTTATTCAGGCAGATAGGTCAATGCGGTATAGGGCGCTGGGAGTGTATACTCTTAAAGTTTATTGAAAGTGTACCAAATAATGCCTTCCAGCCTCCAGGGATCTCCCAATCCCTAGTGGTGTTCTTTGGATATTTTGCCTTTTGAAGATAAGTATCATTGTCTGTCTCTTCTAAAATCTTGATAATAATCCAGTTCAAGTTTGAATCAGCTTCGGTGCATCAAATGCAATTGACGCCCTCTCATTCTTTCTCAATTCTGTTTCATAAACAAATTCAGCGCATAGAGTAGAACTTGTCAAAGCCCTGAAACTTGTGATATCTCCCAAGATTCACATAATACCAAAAGTGTTTTACGAAACTTTCCGCTTCTGACGTACCTATAAAGTGTTTTTTTGGGCTGTTTTTGTTCTAAAACCTTGGTTATTTCCCAATTCTAACTTCTGATTTAGCCTCAGTGTCTCCAATGCTATTTGCCAGTAACAAAAATAACTGAGTTGTAGTTATTGTAGGGAAAATGCACATACAAGCCATGGTATTAGTGGCTTTGTGTGCACCTGACCAAGTGCTGTTTTTGATGCGCGATTGACGCCCTCTCATTCTTTCTCAATTGTGTCTTCAGAAACTCATTCAACACGTTGATTAGAACATGTTCGAGCCCTCAAACTTAAGCCAGCTCCCAAGATTCACACAATACCCAAAGTGCTCTACGAAACTTTCCGCTTTCGACTTAGGTGATTTTGGTCTTTCTTCTCTACAACTTTGCTTACTTTCTAATTCTGTCTACTGAATTAGCCTCAGTGTCTCCAATGCTATTTGCCAGTACCAAAAATAACTGGGTTGTTGTTATTTTAGGGGAAATGCACATAGGTACAAGTCATAGTATCAGTGGCTTTGTATGCACCTGACCAAGTACAGTTTTTGGTGCGCGATTGACGCCCTCTCATTCTTTCTCAATTGTGTCTTCAGAAACTCATTCAGCACGTTGATTAGAACATGTTAGAGCCCTCAAACTTAAGCCAGCTCCCAAGATTCACCCAATACCAAAAGTGCTCTACGGAACTTTCCGCTTTCGACTTAGGTGTTTTTGGTCTTTCTTTTCCACAACTTTGCTTACTTTATAATTCTGTCTACTGAATTAGCCTCAGTGTCTCCAATGCTATTTGCCAGTACCAAAAATAACTGGGTTGTTGTTATTTTAGGGGAAATGCACATACAAGCCATGGTATTAGTGGCTTTGTGTGCACCTGACCAAGTGCTGTTTTTGATGCGCGATTGACGCCCTCTCATTCTTTCTCAATTGTGTCTTCAGAAACTCATTCAGCACATTGATTAGAACATGTTAGAGCCCTCAAACTTAAGCCAGCTCCCAAGATTCACCCAATACCAAAAGTGCTCTACGGAACTTTCCGCTTTCGACTTAGGTGTTTTTGGTCTTTCTTTTCTACAACTTTGCTTACTTTATAATTCTGTCTACTGAATTAGCCTCAGTGTCTCCAATGCTTTTGCCATTACCAAAAATAACAGTTGTAGTTATTTAGGGGAAATGCACATACAAGCCATGGTATTAGTGGCTTTGTGTGCACCTGACCAAGTGCTGTTTTTGATGCGCGATGGACGCCCTCTCATTCTTTCTCAATTGTGTCTTCAGAAACTCATTCAGCACGTTGATTAGAACATGTTAGAGCCCTCAAACTTAAGCCAGCTCCCAAGATTCACCCAATACCAAAAGTGCTCTACGGAACTTTCCGCTTTCGACTTAGGTGTTTTTCGTCTTTCTTTTCCACAACTTTGCTTACTTTATAATTCTGTCTACTGAATTAGCCTCAGTGTCTCTAATGCTATTTGCCAGTACCAAAAATAACTGGGTTGTTGTTATTTTAGGGGAAATGCACATACAGCCATGGTATTAGTGGCTTTGTGTGCACCTGACCAAGTGCTGTTTTTGATGCGCGATTGACGCCCTCTCATTCTTTCTCAATTGTGTCTTCAGAAACTCATTCAGCACGTTGATTAGAACATGTTAGAGCCCTCAAACTTAAGCCAGCTCCCAAGATTCACCCAATACCAAAAGTGCTCTACGGAACTTTCCGTTTTCAACCTAGGTTTTTTTGTCTTTCTTTTCTACAACTTTGCTTACTTTATAATTCTGTCTACTGAATTAGCCTCAGTGTTTCCAATGCTTTTGCCAGTACCAAAAATAACAGTTGTAGTTATTTAGGGGAAATGCACATACAAGCCATGGTATTAGTGGCTTTGTGTGCACCTGACCAAGTATCGTTTTTGGTGCGCGATTGACACCCTCTCATTCTTTCTCAATTATGTCTTCAGAAATGCATTCATCACGTTGATTAGAACATGTCAGACCCTCAAACTTAACCCTCGCCCTGGCAGGGGGGGCGATGCGACCCCCCCTAAGGTTTTTCAAAGATGGCGTAAAAAGGGCGGCGCGCAGCGCCGCCAAATTTGGCACAGCCTTTGGGACAACCTTTTTACATATGACCTGAAAATTTCAGGTCCGGGTGACCTTGGGTCAGGTCACCAGGTCAGAAAAACCGGTACAAGGTCATGGTCAAATTTCAATTTTCTTTATGCACCTGTCCGGCGGCGGTCAGGAGCCGGCCGTCCGGCAGCCAGCGGAGCCGCAGCAGGCAGCGGCCGGCCACCGGCACAGCGGCCAGTAGCCGCAGAGACGGACTCGGCGCGCCGGCGTCAAACCCGAACAGCCTGATCAGTCCGTCCGAGCCGGCGGCCGCCACCACCACCGCGCCGCCGCCGCCGCCGGGGCCGGTGCGCGCCGCCAGCTCCATGTAGCGCGTCTCGGACGTCTGCGGGTCCGCCGGGCCGGCGGCGGCTCGGCTCGGGCCGCACGCGGTGGCCGTCCAGCTCCACGCCCGCCGCGCCGCCCTCGGTCAGCCGCCAGAGCAGCAGCTGGCCGCGCCCGCCGGCCGACGCCAGGTGACCGGGCCCGGCGGTGCAAACGGCGCACGCTGTGATCGGGTGTCCGCGCAGGGTGGTGAACGGTCGGAGAGCGGGCGCTCCGGGCCGCGAGCAGGGCCCGGCCGATAGCAGCCGCACCGTACCGTCCTCGCCAGCCAGCCCCAGCAGCGCGCCGCCGTCCGGAGCCGAGCCGAGCCGCGCCGCCGCCGCACCGCACGCCGGCCATGGCCACGGTGGTGCGCAGGTGGTCGAGGCGCACTGTCACGTGGCGCACGGTGCCGCCGGCCACCCACGAGAGCCAGGCGCGGTGCTCCGACACGGAGAGCGCCCAGGGCCGGTGGCCGCCGCCGCAGTCGACCCGCCACACCTCGCGCTCCGCCGCCGCCGCCCACACCACCAGGTGGTTGGCGTGGAAGCCGACCAGGGCGAGCTATCCGTGTACACGGGTCGTAGCGGCCACCCACTGCCAGGGCAGGCGCAGGCATGCCGTCTGCTCCAGCCGGCCGGCGGCCGTGAGCCGCAGGCGGCGCGCCGTGCCGTCCCGGGCCGTCACCAGCAGCCGGCCGCCGGCTCCGGCGCCGTCACCGGCTCCGACCCCGGCTCCGTCACCCGCTCCGGCTCCGGCAGTGATGGAGGTGGCGCCGTAGCGTCTGAACCGGCTCCAGCCGGTCGGCTGTGAAGAGTTGCAGCGAGCCGTCGCGGTCGGCGGCCACCAGGCGGCCCGCCGGCTCGGTGAGCGCGGCCGCCGTCAGCCAGCGCTGTCCGCTCGGCGGCAGCAGGTGGCGCCGCTCCTCCGCCAGACAGTCGCCGACGTTTGTGAGAAGGCGCAGCCGGCCGTCGCCGTCTCCCACCAGGAGCCGGCCGCCGTCCAGCCAGTGCAGGCTGTGGATCCTGTCGGCCAGGACTTGGCGCTCAGCTGCCTTCACCAGGGTGTCGCCGTCGGGTCTGAGGGTGACGAGGTGGCCGTGCCTGCCGGCCAGCGCCGCCCAGCCGTGCGCGCACGGCGCCGTCGCCGCCGCCGGCGGCCAGCCGGCCCGTCTCGGCGTGACCGGCGGCGGCGCGCACACTGGCGCCACCGTGCGCGCGCCAGCGCCGCTCGAGCAGGCCGGCAATTTGTGCTATGTATGCAATTTGTGCTATGCCACAAATTGCATACAGATCTCTAGGCCCATTTCTTCTCTATCGAGCAGTGTTGACTGCATGTCGTTGCGACGTTTTGTTGCCGAGTTATTGGCCTTGAAGCCGGCTGGCGCCCGTCCAATCGGCCAATTTCACCCGATTCTCGCCGCCACTCATGTTGAGGCCTGGGGCCAGGACATGCCCCCACTTCAGCGCGTGCAGACACAAAACGGCTCGACCAATCACTGTGAAAAGTTGACACGATGGTGGCCACAGATGATGGGAGATTCTCGTGTTAAAATTTCAGCTCTGCAGGTGCCACCGTTGTCGAGATATTGAGCGATTTATTTTGTGACACCACGTACAGACTTCACGTAATTAATTATATTGATTGATTTTTTTATCAGGTCGCCTTTCGGCCTTTACACCTTGCAAAATTGTGGACTAACTACGCAGCCTTGCAAGCTCGGTTCTGTTGTTCTGATTCTGGTGTAGGTACAGTCCACAGCAAAAGTAATGTAGGGTTTCAGTCATGGGTATGTTCTGCTTCTGAAGCTTAGGAACGATTAGCCAGACTACAATGAAACTTTGAATGTAGCTTATATGGATCGTCACCCTTGCAGCTGCAACTTTAGCTATTGACATCTTCTTTTCGATCACTCCGCATTAAACAATCGCCAGTCAAAGCCAACCGTTGAGATTGGTAAAACCCTACATTACTTTAGCGGTGGGCTGTACCTACAGAGTCCAGCATATACAACTAGAGCGTATGGATTGTCTCACCATCTGATTTCTCATCCTACCCTTACCCTTCCTACCCTTCTCTTCCTTAAGCACTAAAAGACAAGTTCAGGATGATGTCTAGAAGATGGTTTCACCCCGATATCACCGGCTTTGAGGCAGAGAAGATGCTGAAAACTCGCGGTTTCAACGGCAGTTTCCTTGCAAGACCGAGCAAATCGAATCCAGGAGACTTCACGCTTTCAGTCAGACGGAACGACGAGGTCGCACACATCAAAATACAAAACGCTGGCGACTTTTACGACCTGTATGGGGGCGAGAAGTTTGCCACGCTCACCGAGCTCATCCAGTTCTACATGGAGAAACAGGGACAGTTGAAGGAGAAGAATGGAGAGGTGATCGAGCTCCGGCATCCGCTAAACTGCGCCGACCCCACCACAGAAAGATGGTTCCACGGCCACTTACCAGGGCGAGAGGCAGAGAAGCTGATGATCGAGAAGGGCAAGAACGGCAGCTTCCTCGTGAGGGAATCGCTCAGCAAACCGGGCGACTACGTGCTGTCAGTGCGGACAGATGACCGAATCACCCATGTCATGATACGGTGCCAGGACGGCAAGTATGACGTAGGCGGGGGTACAAGATTCGACACTCTAGCCGAGCTGGTGGACCACTACAAGAAGAACCTGATGGTTGAGACCACCGGCACCGTGGTCCACCTGAAGATGCCCTTCAACGCGACCCGTATCAACGCCAGCGGCATCGACAATCGCGTCAAGGAACTGCAGAAGGAGCACGGCGCCGGCTTCTGGGAGGAGTACGAGTCACTTCAACAGCAGGAGTGTAAGCACCTCTACAGCAGAAAGGAGGGCCAACGTGCCGAGAGCAGAAACAAGAACCGCTACAAGAACATCCTGCCGTTCGATCACACCCGGGTGATTCTGCGGGACCGCGAGGCGCTCGGGCCCGGAGCGGACTACATCAACGCCAACTACATCACGCCGGAGGAGGACTCGCTAGCGGGCGAGGCCCCCAGTAAGACGTACATCGCCACCCAGGGCTGCCTCCCGACCACGATCGCCGACCTCTGGTGGATGGTCTGGCAGGAGAACTCGCGTGTCATCGTCATGACCACCAAGGAGGTCGAACGCAGCAGGGGTAAATGCGCGCGCTACTGGCCGGAGGTGGACAATGAGGCCACCTATGGCAGCATGACGGTGTCAAACATCTCGGAATCGACCACCGTCGACTACACTCTGCGGGCTTTCAACGTCAAAAAGAAGGGCTGCAGCGAAGAACGGAAAATCTACCACTATCACTTCCGGGCGTGGCCGGACCACGGCGTACCTACCGACCCTGGATGCGTTCTCAACTTTCTCCACGACGTAAACTCGCAGCAGGAGAGTATCGCAGGCGCCGGCCCGATCGTCGTGCACTGCTCGACCGGCATCGGACGGACCGGCACATTCATCGTCATCGATATGATCCTCAGCCAGATCGACAGGCAGGGTCTGGACACGGAGATAGACATCCAACGTACGATCCAGCAGGTTCGCTCGCAGCGCTCCAGTATGGTACAGACAGAGGCGCAGTACAAGTTCGTCTATCTGGCCGTTCAATACTATATCGAAACGATCCAGCTCAAACTGCAGGCCGAGCATGTGAGTCAGAAGATGGGCCGTGAGTACAACAACATCCGCTACTCGACGGAGGCGGCCGGCGCTCCCGGCTCGGAAACCAAGGACGGCCGGAGGTGGGGACGCGGTCAGGGCGCCTGCTCGGCCGGCTGCAGACCAGGCCAGCTGTGTGTGCTCCACCTCCTCGCTCAGCCGGTGGGCGAGCAGCAACGAGACGGGCGCGCCACGCCGCAAGGGCGTCACCTTCTCCGACACACTGTCCACGGACACCGGCCCGGCCGGAGTGGCAGGGACAGCAGGAGCGGAAACAACAGCTCCAGCAGCGGCAGGAGCGGCTGGTTCGGACTCCTCAGATACTACCTCTGCCTCGGAGGCGGCTCGGAGGCGCGTGGCGGCGCGCCGGCTCCCGGCCGCTGCCGCCACGGACGAGCTGACGCGTGAGCTGCTGGCGCGCGGGCAGCAGATGTCATTGTATTTTACTTTCCCTGACATTTCCGAGACATTGTATTTTACTTTCCCGGAGTTTGTATCTTTCCTTTTCATCATTTCCAAACATTATGTCCGTTTTGGGCGGTGCACTCTAATCTGGTGCATCGCCGCGCAGGCTGCTGCGGTTGGGAACTGTACGTGCGTTCGGTGCCGGTGACAGGCACGTTGTATATATTCAGTATGTCCACACCAGTGACATGTGGCGGATCGCGCTGGACAACATTCGCTGGTCAGTCGCCGGCCATTGTATGCCATACTATACCAAGCTTTGTTGCACCATTTCTGCACATGTTTCAGAGCTATGAAGCGTAAAAGGTTTTTTTTTTACGCGCCCGCGAAAGCGGATCGCCAGACACCAGACGTTCCAGGTAAGCGTTTCTCAATAAGATTTTTTACTGTTTTTTTTTTTACCGTGCTTGCTGTTCCTAGTTGGTTGTTAAAACATCATCTAAAAGTCACTCCAGCTTTTGCATCATCTTCCTACTGGTAGTGTGTGTTCAGCGGCGTCGCCATGGATTTTCGGCGGGGGATGGATGGGTTGGCATGGGTGGTCGGGTCAGTCAAAATAACACATACCAAAAATTGAAAAGTTGCCGGATTTCGGTCACTATTTTTTAGCGTACCTACCTACAACAAAACAAAGTTTGTAATATTATATTTCATTTTTTTATTTCATATTCGGTTCCCAAAAGTAGGGGTCAACCCGCGTTTTTCAGAAGCGCGGGGCCACGACCCCGGCGACCCCCCGTTGGCGTCGCGCCTGTTTGGGGTGAGAGTTTGAACACCCCTTCTATCTCGGCTTCTATTAGTCATTTACCGGGGTTACATGAGCAAGTAAATGCGTATCAGGAACGGATTTTCCTATTCGCTCACCATTGTAGTCCGTTTGTAATGCGTATTAACTCTGCTCATGTAACCCCGAGCATAGAGAACAACACAAACAAGCTTTCGGACGACGTCGCCGCGGATTTTCGACTGTGATTTTCGATTTTCGAGTGCCGGATTGGACTGTCAGTCAGAATTCCCCTACCAAAAACTGAAAAAAATCCCTGGATTTCGGCCACTCTTTTTAGCGGCCAGCAAAATAAGATTGAAAATATTTGATTTAATGTTATTTCGATTTCGGCACCCAAAAGTGAGGGGTCAACCCCCGTGGTTTTAAGAGATGTGGGGGATTTATGATCTCAGGGACCCCCAGTGGCGACGCCCCTGCTTGCGGAAGCTCATCAAAAATAATTATCTTACAATCTGTGTATCTTGCCGTTGTTCGGCTCGGGTCAAAATTGTAGCATTCGCTATCAAACGTAAGCAGTACCTAAGTTTTTGAAAAAGTTTTTGTTGAATATCGCGATTTGCTGTACACATTGATAGAAAAGCGGAACAAGCTATATAGAGAGGAAAACAATTGATTATTGTTTTGTTTCCTTTTCAGGAGTTTTATATCGTTGAAAATATCCTAGCATATGACAGGGGACGAAGACAGTACCTCATCAAATGGCAAGGCTACACGTAAGTTGTAAAACTAATCAAAGAAGCATCCTTATTTTTTCGTAGTTTTCTGTTTGCATGTTTCGCCGTTTGAAGCTGATCGTCTTCTCCAACCAGCTGTTAGCAGCCTTGCTTTTTCAGTAGGTACTTACTTCACGAAATGGCTTTTATTTTATGCACGTTACTATGTGTTAGAGTGTGCATATCTGTTATAAAGTTTCAATTACTTGCTTTCACGATCCAGTCAAGAACATCAATCACATCACCAAAACACCGTGTAAAGCAATTCACACCGTCACGGTTACCTGACTCACACAATAATTAACAGACAGGGATATATATGGTTGAACTGAGGTCCCCAACTTCCCGTGATGACATTGGCCTCGGCCGGCCCTCTGATATCGAATATTGAGGACACGAGACCCTCAGAACCCCCTAGACAAGAGATTCAGACGCGATTTCTAATCATTGATGTCGGCGAGAGTGCGCACTGCGCAGCCGGGCACTCTCAACCACTTCCATTCACAGATACAACCACCATTTGCCCCCAAGCGTACTTCATTGACACTAAATGTTTAAGGCTATTACAACTAGAGATAGTTCTGATAAGATATAATCTCGGCTGCGTACTCTATATTCTCGGTTAGTCGTTTATTATTGGTTGGTTCTAATTTTTATTATTGATAACAACTTCGATGCGAAAGTCGAAAATGCATACCAACGAACAATTAACTACTAGTAGTTGAGAATATCTCTATCAGTTCATTGACACTGTTTCTTTGTAACTCATTTATCCTAGAATGCTTCTTCACCTGGTTCTAACCTGTTTCGTTTTCTTTTTCCTTCGCCCGGTTATAATGAAACGTTCAAATTTTGTATAGCTTGGTTTCTGATTACCCAGCCCCCCACTCCCTCCTTTCTTGGTGGTTTGTTTCAATGCATTTCTTTTCCAATCGTTGTCCTGAAGCCTGTTGTTAACCTACTCGTACACGTTTTTCATGTTTGTCTTCATTATTTTTCGCCATGCCCACTTTGTCATCTCCATGGTCTCCCACCAAATCCTAAACCTAAATCCTCATTATCATTATCCTTTCCTTTACAGCGAACAGACATGGGAGCCCGAACGAAACTTTGACCCTACCCTGGTAGCGTCCTTCCTTAGGGGTAAGTGTGCATTGCTGTATTGCTGTATATGAACGCAGCTCAACTACTTCTATGCAATGATCAGAACTTCTGGCTACCCTCCGGTAAAGTTCGCGTGATTTGAGCATTTCCGCTTTTCTTTAACCATTCCTTGTATTTTGTAACAAATTTTCAAAAATGTTTTTAATTATTTTCGATACGTTATATGTATACCTACCCTTGTGGCTCACAGCAATAGGTATCAGGGATATTTCTTTCCAATGTTTCAAAAAAAAATATATATATATTTGAATATGCGTTGTGTACGTATGACCTACCTATACTTTTAAACAAGCATTGTGTTTACATTCTTATGTATTTTAAGCTACGATAACAAACAGTATCACTTACGTCATGCTAACACCATCTTTTACGCCAGATGGCGTCCTGCCGGACGGCACCGCCCCGCCGGCCTCCGCTCAGGCGGATGGCACCGTCTCGCCGGCCTCCGCTCAGCCGGATGGCGCCGTCTCGCCGGCCTCCGCTCAGCCGGATGGCGCTGCCCCGCCGGCCTCCCCATCAGTCACCAGGGCGGTGGAACGGGGTGAGTGAGTGACACTACTCAAAGGGAGTGTCATTGTAGTCATTAAAGGCATACAGTGGCTGTATTTTTTCCACGGCCATATTTCCACAAGCAGAGCGGTTTGCTGACTGGGAAACGAGAGGGGTGGGGGCCGTTTTTCTCTGAACTATGCTTTTGCTATATGTTTATGACGAACTTATAACCATGTTTAAAGGCTGTCCCAAATATTTAAAAAAAAAGACTCTTGACAAGCTCTAATAGTTTTAATACTTCTTGGTCGGGATACCCTGACATGCGCTTTTTCGCGGTTTTGACCCCACCCAAAAGCTAAACATGCGAACGCTCGTGCAAGAAATGCACACCGGCAGACTGGCAACCGCCTGCAACACTCAGTTTGAGGCGGCTTAAAGGCACGATGTTTAATGATTATTAAGCACATTTAACTAAGTTTTTCAATGCATAACCGTCTTTTTTGTGCGCCAGGCGACTCTCTGCTGGATGGCGCCACCCCGCCGGCCTCCGCTCAGCTGGATGGCGCCGTCTCGCTGGCCTCCGCTCAGCCGGATGGCGCCGTCTCGCCGGCCTCCGCTCAGCCGGATGGCGCCGTCTCGCCGGCCTCCGCTCAGCCGGATGGCGCCGTCTCGCCGGCCTCCGCTCAGCCGGATGGCGCCGTCTCGCCGGCCTCCGCTCAGCCGGATGGCGCCGTCTCGCCGGCCTCCGCTCAGCCGGATGGCGCTGCCCCGCCGGCCTCCCCATCAGTCACCAGGGCGGTGGAACGGGGTGAGTGAGTGACCCTACTCCAGTGCCTATTTTAAGGGAATTTGACTGGGGGGGGCAACCTGGAAAATTGTCTTTAATAATCCATTAACCCTCGCCCGTATTGGTGTTTTCCAGCTGCGAACGTATATGGGGTATATGGGGGGGGGGGGGTCCGTTGGACCCTCCCCTCTTTGCCGTTTCGCCCCTGATCGAGCTAAGGCTTTGCGGAAAAAAACGACCGTGTTGCCCGTGATGAAAGGAAGCCGATGATACACAATTTTAAGGTCCTAGGTCATCGGTTGACCTTCCAGGCCAGGTCAATGACCCAAAAGTCGGGAAAATCGGGACCCGTTAGAGCGTCGTAAAGGGTGGCTGCTGTTTTTTTTCGGGGTGCTGATCACGAATATCATGTTAGTTATGATCATAGGTGATGTCTTCATGCATTTAGGCCGGGTCGGGTGAGGTCAGGTCAGGTCAACCAGTAAGGGTTGCCGGGTATTCGTAGTAGTGGCAACCTCCTCTGACAGCTTCGTAACATGTTACGAAGGCACCAAACTACTTCGTAAACGGTCAAATGGCTGCTTAATTCGAATTCAGCTCCAAGAACTAGCCTGGAAACATATAAACTCGAAAATGTGAACCGAGGACAACAAATGTAAATGACCTGACCTGACCTTCCGGTGACCTTGACACTCACCCTAATGCATGGGAGCAACATCATATCCCATGTTTGAACGTTTGAAACCACGAAAAGACTGCAAACGCGCGACTAATGCGAGGCGACATACGCCGAATCGCGATCCCGGCCAAACATGGTGCCATGGTGCGAGGCCGCCGGTGCATCTGAAAGAACTGTGGTGCCCTTGATAAGCCTGAAGTTCCAACGACAGGCCCTTGGTGCCCCTGACAGGCTCATGATGCCCTTGCGAGGCCGGTGGTGTCCCTGCTAGGCCGGTGGTGCCTCTGCTAGGCCGCTGGTGCCCCTGGGCCCTGACAGGACTGTGGTGCTCCTGACAAGCCTGGAGTGTCCCCGACAGGCACGTCGCGCCACTAACAGGCCCAAGGTGTCCCTGCGAGGCCGGTGGTGCCCCTGCCAGGCATGTGGTGTCCCTGCTAGGCCTCTGGTGCCCTTGACAGACCTGTGGTGCCCCTGAAAGGACTGTGGTGTCCCTCGGCCTTGACAAGCCTGAGGTGCCCCCGACAGGCCCGTGGTGTCGCTGACAGGTCCGTGGTGCCCTTGCTAGGCCTGTGGTGCCTCTGGCAGGCCTGTTGTGCCCCTGGCGGGCCTGTGGTGGTACCCCTGACAGGCCCAAGGTGGTGCCCCTGCGAGGCTGGTGGGGCCCCTGGCAGGTCTGTG